TTTCATCATCATCATCATCATCATCATCATCATCATCATCATCATCATCATCATCATCATCATCATCATCATCGTCATCATCATCATCATTTTTTGGTAAGCAGAGTAGGAGGGAGAGTCTTGTTTTAATTTTAGTTGTCGACCCACTAGCTGTTTCAGTCTTTAGTTTAGTTTTAGTAAGGTTTTACGGCGCTCGCAACTGCATAATAAGGTAATATGTCAACAGAAGAGTCCAAACTGGGAATCAGGCTTACTCTTTTTCCAAAATCATCATCATCATCATCATCATCATCATCATCATCATCATCATCATCATCATCATCATCATCATCATCAACATTTAAATAACTAAGCAAATAATCAAATAGCCATTCAGTCAATCAGCCATCAGTCCGTTCAATGCATTGATTCGGCAAATCGATCCCTCGAAAAAGCAAATAATCAGCCAACTGCATGTCACCAGCCGAGTAATCAATCAATTAAAACCGCTATCACTGCAGGAAACTTCCACCGAAATCAATCGGCTGCTCTCAGTGATGCATTCACACTGGGCCACCAGTCGTGAATATAACGCCTTCAGAAATAGAAACGTTTGGTTGGTCTAATATTATAGTTGAGGAAATCAGGTTCGTCTTGTTCGTAGCGTAATATTTAAGCTTAATGAAAAGACGATGGGAAACGCCTAGGTTTGTTGTTTTTGTTTCTACATTTTAAGCTGCGAAAGAAGTCTGGATGTGGGAGTCGTCTTTGAATAGCCGATTAAGTAACCTTTTATGTGCGCGGGCGTGTATAGAATTAATGCTTTGCAATTTAAACGTTTTTTCCTTTTTCTTTGCCTTTCCAAAATTCATTCTATACATAGTATAAAGAGTACCCAAAAAAATGTCAGCACTTTTGAAAGTACGTTGCTGTCACGAAAAACAAGCGTGTGCAAGGACTGTACTGTTACATGTACTCATCAAATTTTGATGGAAAATGGAGTAAGATCATTGCTTTACAGTTCAGACATTATTGTAAAACATTTTCATTGCTGTTTCCACAATTCCTTCTGAAAATTGCAGTCCAGAGCAAGCATGGGCAAACTACGGCCGGCAGGCCGGCTTGGACCCACTAGCTGTTTCAGTCTTTAGTTTAGTTTTAGTAAGGTTTTACGGCGCTCGCAACTGCATAATAAGGTCATATGTCAACAGAAGAGTCCAAACTGGGAATCAGGCTTACTCTTCTCACCTCTCTAGCCTCAACAGCACAAAGTCTGCTTCGGCTATCAAGGCACCCCGGAAATAGCTGTTCACAAGAGAGTGACAAACCTAGAAAAGAAGTATAGGAAAAATGACGATAGTAAGAATGAGAAAAGAAAAAGCAGCAGTTCCAACTATGTTGTTCTGGCACAGTATGAGCATGGCATTGATAAATCAGCTCATTTACAATTCTACTATGCATAAGAACATGTTAATACCCCCCCCCCCTCTTTTGGGAATGGCCAAAAGACAATTCAGCCAGTAGCACTGCACTGGTGGGGGTAAAAGTTTCAGTCTGGCGCAGCGAGTCGACTCAGAAAACGCGATGAGATGGCAGTTGATTAAAACAATACTGTCTGTCTTAAACAATAGAATTAATAGATCCGTCCCAGCTGGAAGCAATGGATCAAATCAATAGTTTCTCTCATGAAATGCCCTTGGGTGACATAAAAGTATGCCATAGTGTCAAGTTTAATTTAGTCTCACTTTTGAAAGTTTGAGGCATTCCAACTGGTTTCATATAATTTCTCCTTCCTTGGACTGCAAGCTATTCGGAATAGCGTCTTTAATCCAGCATGTGGCTTTGATGCACCGACCTAGGCCTTGCCGACATTGTGAAAAAAGTGCGTGCTCCTTTTAAAAAGCGTGGTTATTACAGAAAACAGAATGTTGCAAAGATTGGACTCAGCAAATTTCCTGTGCAGATGCTAAGTCATGATTCTCGTTTTCTTTCAGCCCCTTTCAAGAGTTCTGTCAGTACGTATAAAATAATAGCATGCGCAACAGAAAAAGTAGTTTAGAATCAAGGTTTAGAATAAGAACAAGCTTTGAATTATTCATAAACTTTCTCTGTTCAACGAGTAGAACCTAAACCATCAAAGAGCGTAATATATCGCCCTATAGGAACAAAGTATTGCAAGAATAAACTCTTTCGTGAGGACGTAGTGAAAACATTCGTAGGATCATCAGCAGCAGACCAAAGGCAACGTTATGGCTCATTTTTAACAGTATACACAAACTAGAAACACGAATTTGTATGTTTGATAGTATGCCTACAATTGCCTGTCGATTCAAGTTTCATATGAAGAAATCAGAGTGTATTTTTTGAAGATCTGAATAAATAACGAAGTTATGCTTCTTTTTGAAGTGCCCCCCCCCCCAAAAAAAAAAACAGGAAAAAAACTGCGTATTTAAGCTTTGTTGAATGACCAGAATTCTTTCGTCTTCAATGAGTTAAGATGCTAAGGTTAAAGATAAAAAGTTGAAGGGGGTGGGGGGGGGGAGGCATACTTGTGCCGGTTTACGCTGAATAATACGTGCTTTTTCAATGCCGTGAACTCTAACAGAAGTGAACTAAATGTTCTCTGTTTGGTGTGAGATCCGACACGCACCCCAGTTGCCATAAACATTATCTCTCCACCAGCCTTTGCCCATGGAAAGTGGCTTCTTTTCAGGCAAGTGTCATTATTCTTCACGCCCCTCTTTTTACAAAAAAGCTAGCCCGCGCAGACAATTGCGTTGGGACGTAGAGCGGTCAGGCATAGTGACTTTTGTAGGTATGATTCTGCTATTACCAAGCAGTTTCACTTCACTGCTCTCTGCTCCTGCAGCAAGGCAAAGAGCAATAACATAGCTCCCACCTCTTCCCCGTTCTTCCTTGCAAAGGTGCACGGTAACAAAAATATGTACTTATACAACCGAACCTTCTCTCGTGCCCATCTGTCCAAGACCACCATCTGTACTAATGACTACTTCCTAACTCTCTCCCTACTCGCCTTTGTTTTAAATTATAAAACATTATAATGACAATCTCGAAAAAAATGATGTCGAAGACAACCACTCTTTTCCTCGACTGAGGATAGTCGTCTAGTTAGACAGTTTCAGATGCATTTTTTATATAAACACGGATCTTTAGCCTCTCTGGTCAAGCTCTCTGGGTGTTAAAAATTCACCTGTTATGGTAATCAGAAACTCGAAACTTGCACTAGATCCTCCCTCCAAGAAACGAAACAAACAGCACAGAGTGCACAAGCAGAAATCAACACTTGTCAGAGGAGCGAATCAATCCACATCACGTCTGCTTTCCTGGGTGGGACGCTCTAACTCTAAGGGCCTTTTGTATTCCAGCAGTGTGCGTCGGGCGAGGTACACTGGGTAGGGGCAACCAGTGTGTATGCGCTAATTCGGGTAGCCTTGTGGAGTCGCCCGACTGCTCTTACTAGAGGGGCTACTGGTTGGGG